ATCATCTGATAAGTGCAACCTGATTGCACTAGCAGCCTTTTCATCCAAGTCAGCCCAATCCTCAGCTTTCATGGTATCAGGTTTCTTGATATCACTGTCTAATACCTTGTGTAATCCTTGTTGGATGAGCAGAGCCCTCATCCTTCTTTGCCATGTTGAGAAACCACTATCTCCGTTGAACTTTACTACCTCATAGTTTACTTCGAATATTTTATTTTTTCACCGAGTATAGTACTACAGACCGTGAACAATATTTCTGTGAACGAGCAGAACCCGTGCTCTGATACCAATTATTGGGAATAAACTCCCACAGAAAATAATATTTACGGTAATAACAACAGAACAATATTGTAGTAACGAGATACAATAATCAACAAGAATGAAAGAACAATAAGGACACAAAGATTTTAACTTGAAAAGCCCTTCTGAACAAGGAAAAAATTCACGGGCCCGAGAGGAGCAAAGTAATCCACTATAACGAGGAATTTTATGCTCCGTAGACCCGAGTAAATACTCCAAGAACCACTACACACTCAAAAAAAAAACCTCTATTGAGATTCATACATCACTACAACACCGCTCACACTTTATTTTTTTCCCTACGTACTACTATTTCCTATCTCACATTGTTTACGAGATTTCTTCTTCTTTGTCTTCGAATGAGAACCCAAAGGCTCCTATTTATAGGAGTGTCTGCTAAGAACTTCAACCAATCAGAATTGGTTTGCCTATTATTTGCAATTGCAAATTGCATCTGCCAACTTGCTCTTCAAAGGTAAGTTGTCACCGCCCAAAACAAGATTTGGTGTCTGATTTCTCTTTTTTATTTTCTTTTTCTATTGGGGCTGGACCCCCATCAATTGATACTAGTTGTTGGGGATAAACCCCCAATTGAAATAATATTCACAGCAATAACAGCAGAACAATAACGTAGTACCAAAAGACAGTAATCAACAAGAATAAAGAGAACAACAAGTACACAAAAGATTTTAATGTGGAAAATCTTTCTGAATAAGAGAAAAAATCACGAGCTCGAGAGGAGCAAAGTAATCCACTATAATGAGGAATTTTACACTCCGTAGTCCCGAGTAAATACTCCGGGATCCACTACAGACTCAAAAGAAATAACCCTATATTGAAATTCCCACCCCACTACAATATTGCTCACTCTCTATTTTTCCTTACAGACTATTTTTCTAACTCTGAAATGCTTGAAGCTTCGTTGCTTCTGTGTGTTCAAAATGAGAGCCGAAGCTCTCTTTATATAGGTGAGAGCACCACCCTTTAGACCAATCATAATGAAGGGTTGGTTTCAATTTGCATTGCAAATTGTCATTCTGACTCCCACCATTTGCCAAATCCAATTTGGCATCTTGCAAATTCCTTTTTTTTTTTTTTCTGTTTCATTATGGGAATGGACACCACGGGAATATGAAAATGAAATTTGTGAATGCAAAAGCGGTGGAGGAAGAAGAGTATGAGGGGGAAGGTGGTAAGATTGGGCCATTTAGGTATCTGATACACTTTCATATGAAGAAATTGTGGATGATGCTAAAATTAGAGAAACTGGAATTCAAGAACATAGGAGGAAGGTGCTATGGTGGGGGCAGAAATGATATAAAATTTACAAAATAGAATAAAGATATGAGAACTACTACCTTTACAACGTAGGAGTAAGGTTTGCATGTACAGTACCCTCCCCAGACCCGACTTGTGAGATTTCACTGGATTTTTTATTTTTGTAGAAAGATACGAGAACACTTAAAAGATGACTTTAACAAGGCAGAGCAAACAAATCTTTCATATGTCAATGTAAAGACAAAAAAAGAAGTTGCAACTTTCCCCATTTTATATGATATTTTAGTACTGAAACTAATATACTTTAATAATTATTATTTTAAAGAAAATATTGAAGATTTGTGAATTGTTGGCTACTTGTCATGTCAGCTGTAGTAGAACATGCATCTGCTAGCTTCATGGTTTACCAATCCTAAAGTTGATGGCTTATTTAGTTGACAAAAAAAGATTCCTGAACAAGTTAGCTGGGGCAGAATTGAACCTTGGAGTACAAATCTTTGGAGGGGATGATATGAGTTGAATGTTGACATTAATGTAGCAGAAAGATGTGGTTGAATTAAAGATCTGTGAAAACAAAGGCTCATGGTGGGTAGTACTATTATAAAGAAATAGTTTCGTTCCTCTAAAGCAACAAATGATGCAAAGAGAAGGACCATCACTTATAGAAGCAATGCAATTTAAAGAAACATGCATGCACTCTCAAATAGTAAGATGATGATTCAAGCTGAGCAGTCACTGCATTGAATCTAACTTTAAAAGAGAAAAAATAAGGTAGAGTAGATATATTGTATTATGACTCTTCTTTAGGTGCATTCTAGTCTTCTCTTAACTGTTCCCTTGTTTCTTCTTCTCTGTTTTGCAACGACTCCTCTTTACTACTCCCTCCGTTTTAATTTATGTGAACCTGTTTGACTGGGCACGGAGTTTAAGAAAAAATGAAGACTTTTGGAATTTGTGGTCCTAAACAAGTTAAAAAGGGAACCAAAGTGTTTGTGTGGTTATAAAAGCTTCTCATTAAGGGTAGAATTGTAAGTTTAAGCTAAATTGTTTCTATATTTAGAAAGGGTTCATTCTTTTTGGAACGCACCAAAAAAGGAAATAGGTTCATATAAACTGGAACGGAGGGAGTAATATTTTGTTGCCCTTTTTAATTTGCTTCTTTTTACATTAGTCTACGGATGTTGCATGTAAAATAGATTGGTAGAAGAAAGACAGAAGTGATGGAGATTGTTTCTGACTCTAACACAAGTGATGCTGATAATCAAATCCAAACTAGGGATTCTATGGTTAATCCTTTATCTGGAAATAGTGCCAATAAAAATCTAGAAGATTTCGTCTTGGGCCTCGATGATGACTTGGCCATAATCAAGCAAAGACTGACTGGACAGGAAAAGGCTCTTGAAATTGTCACGATAACTGGTACGGGTGGTATTGGCAAAACAACACTCGCCAAACAAGCTTATGATTGTCTTGAAATCAAGCAACGCTTTGATATTCGTGCTTGGGTTACAATATCTCAAGATTTCGAAGAAGAGATATGTTGTTAGCTGGTTTACATTGTATATCGAAGCAAACAAATATTGTCTATGGAAAAGGTTACGGTGAAAAGGGTGATGATGAGTTGATAGATAACATCAATGACGAAGTGACAGTGACTTAGTCAACATGCTGCAGAAAAAGTTAAAGGATTATGACGAAAGTCAATTATCTGAAATTGGTGCAAAAAAACTTAAAGGGTCGACGGTACCTTGTTGTTATTGATGATATTTGGATTACGGATGCTTGGGATTGGATACAAGGGGTATTTCCTAAGAGGTTGGAAGAAGTGGCAAAAGATTATCTGGCCGATCTTATCAGCAGAAACTTGATAATGGTTAATAAGAGGAGATTGACTGGTGAGACAAAAACATGCGGAGTTGATGATCGTCTGCATGAATTTTGTTTGATTGAAGCTAAAAAGACAAATTTCATGCATGTTGTGAGACGTGGTTTCTATAGCAGCAGCACTGCTTATGAAACTAGTGATTCTAGTGTTCAAAGCTTCAGTTTTCGTACTAAATTAAGCTCATCTAAATATGTGCACCAGATCTTTATACTTTTTTGGTGAATTTATAACTTCTCCAAAATCTAGCGTACATTTCAAACTTCTCAAGGTACTAGCCATCTTCCGTCATGATATGTTCTCTTCATTCCCAATTGATCAGATAACAAATTTAGTTAATCTGAGATATCTTGCAGTTGCCTCCCACGGTGATCCTCCAGAATCAATCTCAAAGCAGAGGAAGTTGCAAACTTTAATATTTACCAACTTAATGGGATTTGCAAACTTACCGGTGAAGATATGGAAGCTAACAGATTTGAGGCATATCCGTGTGAAGGGATGCAGTTACTTGTGTAGTCCAAGTACCGCAGGACTTCATAGAACAAAGATGTCAAATCTTGAGGAATTTTCTACTCTATGTTTCTCCAGGTGTACAAATGAAATCTTCTCTGCCATTCCCAATTTAAAGAGATTGAGTATTCGTCAAACTTATTCAGAAAGTCTAAAATGTGCTCTCAGGAACACCGACAGTGATTGCTTCAAACTTAAAACGTTGGGAGGCTAGCAGTGATTGCTTCCCTATGCTACAAAGCCTGCTCCTCAAGGATTGCACTGAACTGGAAAAACATTCCAGAGGATTTTGTAAATAGTTGTTCGTTGGAGTCAATTGAGTTATATGATTGCAGCACTTCTGCTGATCATTCTGCAAGAAGCATTGCACAAGAGAAACAAGAGATGGAAGGAAATGATAGCCTCAAGGTCCACGTCAATAAAACTCGCGGTAAGTGTTTTGACCAATCTGTAAAATTCATCAATCTTTACATGTATTAATATCTTTGTTAGATTTTTACATCCTTGAAGAATAATCTTTCATCCTGCAGGGAGCTGAAGCTTATTTTGAAGAGCAATGGGATGATATCTTCAAAATACAAAATCTCTTCTTGTCTTTGAAAATTAAAGTCATTCTTTTTGTGTTGTAATCATTCCTATTCCTTGTATTCGTTGTGCGTTTGGAATAAAGACATGCAGTACATGTCTCATCCATTTCAGATCCAGTATTTTGTAATAAGCTCTGCAGAATGATAACTGTGAAAACACTCTAATATTGCTGCTAATGAGCACTAAAATTGATTAATTATGTAAAAGTATTTCAGGGATGTGACACTCAGTACTACTGGACGATAGTCGATACCCCTCGTTTTGGAGCTCATTTTCATTTGGCTTAGTACATACTTTACTCCTCCAACTTGTACAGAAATTCCCTTTCACACACTTATTCTTTGTGGTCATCCTTTTACACATCTTAATTTACAAGATCGGTTTACTGGTGCATTTGGTTATATATTTTGGCAGTTCTTAGAAAGAAGTTCTGCTGGTATTTATGGCTTTTGCTACTGGTCTTAATCAGGTTTACCAGTGTCATGTGCAGTTTTGGTTTGAAGTTGTTTTTTCTGCTGAAGGTGTGAAGTCCTTTAGCTGATGTGTTGCAACTAAAGACGTAGTTTTGATCGTTGCAGACCTTTTTTTATGGCTGCTGAAGTGTATAGTTTGAAGCTGAGAGATTATCTAATGTAGTGGAGATTATCTTCACTTGGGTGATCTCTCTCCTTTGATGGTTGAGGAGTTGAAGAGAGAGATTAGAAATGCAGTCAATGAAGAAAATGTGATACTAGAAATCATGGAGTGTCAAAACTACGTCGTAAAAGAAGGCGACATGAATGGGCCCTACTAAAGTGTGTAAGGGTGCAATAATTGACCTATACCCATATGGGCATAATATGCTAGGACCCAAACACCACTAGATTCATTCTTCCAAACACGTGAACTATAGAAAAAGACTTGCCTTTGGACATTTCTCATGACTATTCAAGACCTAATAAGAGCAGTGTTGTCAAAGGCGTGCTTAAGACTTAAAGCGAGGCTCAAAACATGTTGAGCGTTTTCGCTTTGGGAACGCTTCAGTGTCGCGGCAAGGCTCTAAGCCATACTTTTCCTTGTCAATGCGTGTAATCCTAACAAGGCGACACTAAATAATTGATATTTCATTTTATTGTAACTTTTTTCAATTTATTCATGCTTATAATTATTGGTTTTGGACGGTATATACATATTTTTACTTTTTCTCCAATTGCACCTTTTTTCATTAATGCCCCCACTTTATTTGCGCTTTGCGCTTAAAGCCCCAACAGACCTTACAGTTTTTTTTCCTTCATTTAAACTTCTTTAATAGGAAAAGAGAACAAAGTGGAATTTTTCGGCGTGGATATGAATTAGTCGGGCTTCAAAGCGGATAAAAAAAAGAGAGGAGAGAACACGTTCGAATGGTCACTAGGCATCTTTTCAAGTTTCAAGAATGGACATAGTTCACCTTCCAGTTCCATTTTGTTTGTGAGATCAGGTCTTATGATTTCTCAAATTCTCTTTTTATTAACAACAATCTGCAGCAGCGTTGATTTTGATTTCCAATCTGCAAAAGCGTTCAACTGTTTCGTTCCAGCTAATTATAGGTAAGCATTTGATGAGGCTTAGAACTCTTCATTAGCTCTTTCTTTCCTGTTCTCTAAACTGATGTTTTATTCAATGTAGAAAGCAAATTACATAGAGATGGCTTATGTTGCTGTGATTTCTCTCGTACAAACTCTGAAGCAACTCCCGCAACTAAATCCGCCATGGATAAGTGATGAAGCAGAAATAATAGTGCACTCTCTCCTTTCTAGTCTTGAATATTTCCAAGACTTTCTTAAGAAGAGAAGTCAGCACACTGAAAAGGATGAAGAGTCGGAGAGAGAGATTAAAAGTGTAGTGAATGAAATAGAAGATGTGATTGAACTAAATATTAATGAAACAATGGAAAGAAAGGCATTTGACGAAACCTTGTCTCCACTTGTAGAAAAAATAGATGCTCTGAAGAGGAACATGAAACAAAGTGGTTTTGCTACAAGTGAAGTTCAAGGCTATGGTGAGGATTGCAAACAGGTGCTTCCTTTCCTGGTCATTCATCTACATATGTTGCAAAACTCAATCCAGATAATATTGTCGTCGGTCTTGAAGATGACCTCATGAGAATCAAGAGAAGATTAATAGGGGGCCTGTCTGATCGCGATATTATCCCCATTTTGGGAATGGGGGGATAGGAAAAACCACCCTTGCCAAAAAGGCATTTGATGATCCAGAAATCAGGCATCGCTTTGACATCCATGTTTGGGTCACAGTATCTCAAGAATACCAAATTAGAGACTTGTTGTTAGGTGTTCTTTCTAGTCCTACAAATGATATCAAAGAAGTGTCTGATAATCAGTTGATGGATATGATATACAAAAAGTTTAAGGGTCGGAGGTATCTTGTGGTAATGGATGATATTTGGAGTAATGATGTCTGGGATCTTATGACAAGAACTTTTCCAGACGACAACAATGGGAGTCGAATTATTTTGACTAGTCGGCTTAAAGATCTGGCTATTCATGCTGACCCTGACAGCATTCCTCATGAGATAAGCCTCTTGAATTTAGATCAAAGTTGGAAGTTACTTCATGAGAAGGTGTTTGGGGCAGAACATGAGGTTTGTCCTACTGAACTAAAGGATATCGGTAAGCAAATAGCACAAAAATGCCAAGGACTACCTTTAGCTCTTCTAGTGGTTGCGGGGCATCTCTCTAAAATTGCTAGAACACGAGAAAGTTGGGAACGTGTTGCCAAAAGTGTAAGTAAAGTTGTTGCTCATGAATCAGATATATGTCTAGGAGTGCTTGCTCTGAGTTACAATTACTTACCTAATCATCTTAAACCATGTTTCCTTTATATGGGAGTTTTCCCAGAAGATAGTGAGGTTAACGTTGAGACATTGATCAACTTATGGGTTTCTGAGGGTTTTCTATTGGAAGAATTTGTGGGAAAAGATTGTTTGGAGGATCTTGTTAGTAGGAATCTGATAATGGTTAGAAAGCGGAGATTTGATGGCGAGGGGAAAACATGTGGCGTCCATGATCTGATTCGTGACTTGATTTTAAGAGAAGCTAAGAAGGAGAAGTTCATACAGGTTAATAGAACTCGAGAAGCCACCAAGTCTTGGGCAAAAAAGCTTCATGTTTGTCGCTACAGCTTCCATTCGTACATATATCAGGATGATCGCTGGCAGTCATCATCCAGTGTTCTCACCCGAACTGTGCACTTCTTCCATGGATTAGAAACACCTTCTATACAAGTTCCTCTTTTGACGCGCTTCAAACTGCTAAGAGTGTTGGCTATCCTTAGTGTTACGTTTCAAAATTTCCTACTAGAGATAACAAAATTAGTACAACTCAGATACCTTCAATTCACTTGTCATGATGATATTCACTGGTCAGTGTCAGCGCTTTATAATCTGCAAACGTTCATTCTCGGTCACCTAGTTGAAGGGTTATCACCTCCAACTCTACCTCCGGGAATTTGGCTAATGAAAAATTTACGACATCTTCATGTCAGTGACTTCTTTTCTTTTCCTATTCCATCAAACAAGCTACAATATCTGGAGGGACTTTCATGCCTAGCTTTGTCCAGCTGTACTTCTGAATTATTTTCTGCTATCCCAAATCTTAAGAAGCTAAAAGTTATTGGAAATTATCTGATGGAAATGATGGGAGAGCGCCTAAGTAGCCTTTCCTGTTTAAAAGAACTTGAAATGTTGAAGTTCAAGGGCGACGGGCTACAACTTTCCCGAATCTCAAGTAAGTATGCTTTGCCTATATCGCTGAAGAGCTTGACGCTAAGTCATACTTATTTACCATGGGAAGACATGGCGAATATTGTAACGTTGCCAAACCTCGAAGTGCTTAAAATTAAATACCATGGATTTGATGGCGATGTATGGAGATTAAATGATGAAGAGACTTTCAATCAACTGAAGTTCCTACTAATCAGTTGGACAGATCTGAAGCAATGGGAAGCTGGTAGTGTTAACTTCCCAAAGCTGCAACGCCTACTTCTGGAAAGATGCATGAACTTGGAGGAAATTCCTCAAGACTTTGGCGAAATCTGTACGTTGAAGTCAATAGAGTTAAACGGTTGCAGTATATCTGCTGCAAAATCCGCCGAAGCAATTCGAGAAGAGCAAGAGAGCATGGGGAATGATTGCCTCAATGTCGTCATCTATAATCATCGGTAAGACTCATTCTGTCTCAAATTATTGCTCCCTAATCAGTTTATAGTTTAAAATTAAAAGAACAAAGTCAAAGAAGTCCCCAACCCACTAAATATATTAGATATCCTATATAAGTTGCAATCTGATGAGAATGTGCTGGCCTTTGATGTCTCTTCTCTGTTCCTTATATTGACTAAGGATCTACCGTTGCCGTGGGCCGTGTTGCTAGTTATTGCTTTTTATTTTTGTAATCTTCTTACAAGCTAAACATTAATGACTGGAAGATGTGTTCTGATGGTGTATTTCATATTAGATGCTTCTGTACTCTGTTCTGCAGTCTTGAAGAGTTTCATTTTCCTTACTTGAAGAGATCCATATGTCATAATAGTCTGATTTATTCATTTACTTGGACAAACAATCATATTACTAACAAAAGAAAAAGTTTGAAGTTTCCTCTTTATTGGACCAACAGTCCTTGTTACTAGTAGTTATCAGTTTGCTCCTAGCATTTATCTATTTAGTTTAGATGTTTGCATTTATCTTCTAGATTAGATGATATCATAGTTAGTTCTTCAGAGTTATCTATTTGGTTTAGATAGGATTCTTCAGTTATTTGGTTTACATGAACTCTAGAAAGGTGGTTGCTGTAACTTGTATGTAAACTCATTTATGCATTCCATAAGAGATACAGTTTTCCATCATCTATTCAAGTGTTCATATGGTATCTGAGCCTATACAACTCTAACGAGCACGATCCTATTTTTTTTCCAAGCACCAAATCCGCCAATGACGAAAGATGAAAACAATTCCAGAGTTATCAATGGTGACAACACTACTGGTACCAACACCATAGTTCAATTCAACCCCACTTCCAACTGCCAATCAAACTTAACGGCAGTCACAATTTTTCCAATTGGAAAGCTCAGTTCTCCATGCTTCTGCATGGACATGACCTCTATGGTCACCTTGATGGATCTACCCCGACTCCCAACCCGAGCACCACTTTTGGCACCAACACGACCCCCAACCCTGCTTATACACTTTGGTTCCGTCAGGATCAACTTATTCAAAACGCCCTTATGGCATCTATTGATCCTACCATTGCCTCCACAGTTGTTGCTGCCAACACATAGAAACAGGCTTGGGACTCTTTGCATAATGCTTATGCAAACAAGTCCCAAACTCGGATCTTTAGTCTTCGTGATCAACTTGCCCGAATCACCATAGACTCCCTCCTTATTACTGAATACCTTCAACGTATTCGGTCCCTTTCGGATGAACTAGCCACTGTTGGTGCCCCTGTTACTAACTCCGAACTCATTGTCAAAATCCTTAGTGGACTTGGCCCTGAGTTTCGCGAGATCTCGGCTGCTATACGTGCATGTGACACCACAGTAACCTATGAAGAACTGTATCAGAAGCTGCTTGACCATGAGCTCTTTCTCCGTCATGAGGAGGTTAAGAAAATGCAGAGCCCAATCACTGCTGAGGTGGCCACTCGCAACAAACCAACCAATAATTCCAACAACCGCAACAATCGTCGTCAGAACAATAATGGTACGCCTACTCAGAATCCTCTGGAATGGCGCCAGAATGCTCGCTCCAATCCGCCAGCTCAGTGGCAAGCCCCGACTAACAATAATTTCACTAGTGCTATCCGGTGTCAGCTGTGCAACAAAATTGGCCACATTGCAAGTGTCTGCAGATCTAAATCTCACAATCACTTTGAGGCTAAAGCTAATTATGCTTGCGGTTTCACCTCTACTGCCAACCCATGGATTATGGATTCTGGAGCTACTCATCATCTCATAACAGAGCCACACAATTTACAGGAATATCATGACAATTAGAATGTTTCTATGGGTGATGGTAACAAAATTCCCATAACTCATGCTGGTTCAACTCAGTTAAAAGCATCAAATAATATTTTTCATCTAACTCACACTCTATGTGCTCCTGATATCAAACGTAAACTTATATTTGTCTCCAAATTTTGCCAAGATAATCTAACATCTATCAAATTTTTTCCTTTTGATTTTTTTGTGATGGATCTGAAAACTCGAGTACCACTGGTGCGAGGCCGGAAACACGGATTGTATGAGTGGCCCAAGTCATATCCACCACCACCTCCGCAAGCTCACATTACCTCTACCACGGCTTCTATGACCATATGGCATCGAAGACTAGGTCATCCACATTTCAGAGTTCTTAGTATATCTTGAATAAATTTTCGCTTCCATTCTCTGAGCGAGGCAAGTCTCTTTTTGTAATTCTTTTTCATCTAATAATTCCCATCAGAACCATTTAGTCAGTTGAGTTTGACAAGTTTCAAACCTCTTCAAATAATTTTTAGTGATTTATGGGACCCTCTCCAGTTCTATCCATTGACAAAAAATTATATTATTGCTTGTTTGTTGATCAGTACAAGCGGTATACATGGTTGTACACTTTAAAAAATAAAAGTGAGGTCAAAGAGCTTTTTCAAAAATTCCACCCTCTAATGGAAAAGCACTTCGATACCAAAATTTTATCACTTTATACTAATGGTGGAGGGGAGTATAAAAGTCTTGACTCTTATCTCGCCTTTCACGGTATCGAGCATCTTTCTACACCACCTTATACCCCTCAAAGGGTAGCTCTTGCAGAGAGACGCCATCGCCATATTATTGAAAGTGCAAGAACGCTACTTTATGAGGCATCTCTTCCATCAAGTTTTTGGTCATTCGCGTGTCAACATGCTGTTTATTTAATCAATCGTCTTCCCACCTCACTTTTAAATAACCAGTCCCCATTTCAAAATTATTTGGTGAAATACCCAATTATGATGCTCTTAAAATTTTTGGTTGTCTATGCTATCCTTGACTCAAACCTTATTCTAAAAATATACTTGAACCCAGGTCTACTCCATGTGCTTATCTCGGTTTCTCTGTAACCCATCATTGCCACCAATATTATGATCCCGTGTCATCAAAAATTTATTTATCTCGTGATGTGCAACTTTTTAAAAATATTTTTCCCTTCAAAATTTTATTTTTAAATATTGCACTTAAATCACATAAATTGGAATGGGACAAAATCACAAATAAAGAAAATCCAAAACCCACCTCTCACTTTCCCTTATTTTTAGAATTACCCCAACTCATTATAAACCCCACACAAAATAAAATTAGTAAAATTGAACCCACTCCTAATACGGCAGAATCCCTCCCCAACATCCTTCATCTCCTAATGAAACTCCAGCTACAAATCAATCACCCCCACACGAGATTCCTGGCATATTACCAGTGGTACAAGTAGATTTGGGATCTTCACACACTCCTACCTCATGTATGTCTCTATCTCTTCCTACTCTATCTCCTCTTGATACTTCCCCCTATTCTAGTCCATCCCCATCGCAGTCATCTTCTGCCAGACCTCTTCTACCCTCTAAACTATCTATAAATTTACCTCATACATCAACCAAATCCATCCCAACCTCTTCGCCACCACTGTTCCTGTATCAATGGCGCACCCCGAGTCTCAAATCAACTAATTCGATGGCCCCCCACCTACCACCATTGTTCCTCCCGTTGAGCACCAACCAGAACCACCCCTGCCGCACAATCTTTCTTCTCCCAGTCGCATAGTTACTTACTCACAGAATAACATTCAAAAACCAAAAATGATTTTTGACTATGTCGCTCACTTGAAACCTGCACTCGTACCCCACACTTTCAAACAAGCCCAAAAACATCCGGAGTGGAGAGCAGCAATGCAAAATGAATTTGATGCTTTACTGAATAACCACACTAGGGAACTTGTTCCAAATGATTCCTCTAAGAATGTTGTTTCATGTAAGTGGCTTTTCAGGATTAAGAGGAAAGCGGATGGTTCTGTTGATCGCTAGAAAGCAAGACTGGTTGCGAAGGGATTTACTCAGAGGTCGGGTGTTGACTTTCACTCTACTTTCAGTCCAGTGGTCAAACCCACTACTGTGCGAATCATACTTGATGTTGCCCTTCGTTTTCACTGGCCCTTTCGTCAGCTCGATGTCAACAATGCATTTCTCCAAGGTGACCTTGAAGTAGAGGTCTACATGACGCAACCTCCGGGTTTTGCTTGTGGTAATAATCCGATTCATATTTGTAAGTTGTGTAAGGAAATTTATTGCTTAAAGCAAGCAACTCGGGCTTGGTATAATGCACTCAAAGGCCATCTCTCCTACATGGGATTTGTCAAGACTGAATCTGACAACTCCCTATTCACTCGGCATAGCAACGCTGGTTTCATGTTTATTTCGGTATATGTTGATGATATTATAGTCAATGGTAGAAAATTTATCACTGTGAATGAGGTCATAACTTCCCTTGCCTCTCGTTTTTCAATTAAAAATTTGGGAAATCTTAATTATTTTCTTAGTGTTGAGGTGATTCGGAGTTTTGATGATATTATTCTATCTCAAGCTAATTATGTCAATGAGATCCTGAATGATGAGTTGATGGCTGATTGTAAGAGGCTAACTCACCAATGAGTGCCTCTGCGTTGCTAAAACTCAATGATGGGGCTCCGCTAACAGATGCGACTCGCTATCTTCGAGTCTTAGGAAGACTTTAATATTTATCTTTTACAAGGCCGGATATTTCATATGCTGTCAATAAATTGTCCCAGTTTATGCAATCACCATCTAAGCTTCATTGGAAATATGTGAAACGTTTTCTCAGGTACCTTTGTGGTACAATTTAGTTTGGCCTACGTGTGTCCCCGAATGTTGATTTCAATCTGCACATGTATTTTGATGCCGATTGGGCTGGAGATCTCACTGACAGATCCGCCGCGTCTGTCTATATTCTGTTCCTTGACCGAAACCCCATCAGTTGGTCTTCAAAAAAGCCAAAAGCTGTCGCTCGCTCATCAACTGAAGCCGAAAATAGAGCTGTTGCCAATGCTCTTGCCGAACTGTTATGGGTGAGAAACTTACTACTTGAGATGCGAATTCCTATCAGAGATACCCCTACAATCTACTGTGACAACATTGGTGTCACTTATCTAAGCGAGAATCCGGGCCTTCATAGTCGCATGAAGCATGTCGAGGTAGACTTTCATTTTGTGCGCAACCATGTTGAACGAAAGGCTGTTCGAGTTGTTCATGTGCATTCAGCTGACCAACTAGCTGATACGCTCACTAAAGCACTTGCCAAACCAGCCTTTGATCGCAATCTGTTCAAGTTAGGCTTAGTGACAAATAGTCTAACTTGAGGGGGCGTATTGGACCAACAGTCCTTATTACTAGTAGTTATCAGTTTGTTCCTAGCATTTATCTCTTTAGTTTAGATTGCATTTATCTTCTAGATTAGATGATATCATAGTTAGTCTTCAGAGTTATCTATTTGGTTTAGATAGGATTCTTTAGTTATTTGGTTTACATGAAACTCTAGAAAGGTGGTTGTTGTAATTTATATTTAAACTCATTTATGCATTCAATAAGAGATACAGTTTTCCTATCATCTATTCAACTGTTCATACTCTTTAGTTAAATATGGATAAGATATAATTGTATACCTGAAAAGTTGGCAATGGTGATGGGGTCGATTATCGCGGTCGTGTTAGCTACCTAATGTTGGAGCACTGAGAAGCTGGCGAAGTTAACTTCTCAAGTTGCAATGCCTATTTCTGAAAGACGCTTATAGTTGGAGGAAATACCGAAAGACATTCGGGAAATTTGTACCTTGGAGTCAATAGAGTTGCTTCATTACTCAATTTTCGCTGCAAAAAGAAATTCAAGAAGAGCAAGAGATCATAGGGAATGACTGCCGTCTGTGGGACCAATCCCAATTAAAATAAAAAGAATAAAAATGATTGGATGAAATGGGTGGCAATAGTAGTCTCACAACTTGGTCTTGCAACAAGTTACAGAATCGTTTTAGATGGCAACTTGCAAAGCAACTTGCAATGGAATGAACCATTCTGATTGGTTCAAATGTTGGCAAGTTCTCCTTAAATAGGAGCTTATTTCTCTCATTCAGACACACCAAAATCAGAGAGTGCAATAGAGCGTAGAGAGAGTAATCCACAGATTGTAGTCTGTGAGATAAATAGTGAGTGGGAGTAATATTGTAGTGAGGTGTTTAAAATAAAGAGTGTTATTTCTTTCGAAGTTGTAGTAGTCTCTTGACACTACTAAGTTGTAATATTATAGTGGTAATATTGTTCCGCTGGGGTATTGTATTTTATCCCGTTAAATTATTTGGTGTCGTTGTCACTCTCTTGTGTTATTGTTATTTACTGTGGATATTATTCCTAGGCGGGATATTATTTATTTTTATTCCCAACAACGTGGTATCAGAGCCATGGAGAATAATAGTCCACTGTCTTTTTAGTATCCCCGTCTCACAAAAGATAATTAAGAGAAATGGTGTCTGCGTATGAAAGCCATTCTTGGCTCCCAGGATGTGTGGGAAATCGTAGATAGAGGGTATTCAAAACCCGATAATGAGGAAGATCTGCCTCAAAATGAAAAAGATGTCTTGGCAAAGACAAGGAAGAAGGATCAACAAGCCCTCACGCTAATCCACCAATGTTTGGATAATGCCATGTTTGAGAAGGTGGCAGATGCTACCACCTCAAAGGAAGCTTGGGAGATTTTACAAAATTCTCTTCAAGGAGTTGACAAGGTGAGGAAGGTAAAACTTCAAACTCTAAGGGCTGATTTTGAAGTTTTAAAAATGAAAGAATCCGAATGCATTTCGGATTACTGTTCAAAAGTGAAGGCTGTTGTGAATCAATTAAGAAGATACGGGGAGGACATAGAAGATGTCCGTGTGGTAGAAAAGATCCTTCGCACTTTAACACCTAAATTCGATTTTGTGGTGTG